TGTTTTCTGAGCAGTCGTCTACAAAAAACAGATGATAAAGCAGTTTTGTCTATGTTGATCGAAAGTCTCAGTGTTTGTGATTCACTTAACGCGTAGACGTATGTTGACGCTAAGAATACACCACGAACTGTTATGCAACTTAGAAAAGAAGAAATTAAGCTTCTTCACCCCGTTGTGACCGCTATCTTGTTTTTCTCCTTTGATTCATAGACTCATGCGAGTACAATGCTGCTGAATTTGAGAACCACGACAGTACAACCTTTATGCAAGCACACTGTAATGATTCGTTGTTACGTCTCTTCCCATCTGAAATGAAATCATCTGTCTTTAACTACTTCCTTTTCTTTCTACTTATCATCTGTTTAACGAAATGTACTTGATAGTCTCTGAACGCTCTTCTTCCCAGTACAAATCATATGGACAGACGAATACGACGACAAAAAAAGAAAAAAATGAATGAATTTCCACTAGAAAAACGATCAGTCGTAGTGTGTGTACAAACGTGCTATTAGTTAAACATTGAACTTGCCGGAGAAGTATATTTTGTTCTTTCTCGCTTTTTCGTTGACAATTTGACTATAAAGAAAAAAATGATAGAAAATAACGTGTCTCGCAAACATACTACTATGTGCATATTTGAAAGATGTAACGAACGAACAATACACACTGCGAAAGAGTGTGCTCTAGTTTGTACATATTTTCGTATGACAAACCGGTTTTTGTAACACATTCCACAATAGATGCATTGTGTTTTACTGAAAAAATGTTGAAGAATTTTGTATATCCCCACCATTCCAATCATCACAAACAACTTCGTACATTCGATGATTTTTATCGTGTTCCAACAACAAGTGGATCTTCGACCAAGTTGGCTGAGGAACAGCCTCAACGCCGTCCTCATTACCAGAAATCGCACTCATGTGAAATAATGTCAACAACTTCCACTTCACCACCAATAAACTCGCCATCAGTTCAAAAACAACCGTTTACATTTCACAGCATCTTTTGCGATTTACAATCGACAACAACACCCGAATTAGATGAAACAGAAGCAGTATGTGTTGGAGATGAGATGCAAGTGTCTCAGACAGCTATATTCGACAATAACGATGTACGTTCACAGCCTTGAAAGCATTTTCTTCTACCTGAATATGAATCGTTTACGCAGTTCGTAGATATTTTTCGTTTGCATTTTTGTCATTTTGTTTGTAGTCATCGTTCTTAAAACTAGAACCACCATCACCCACCTCGATGTCTTCTCCCGATGTCGATTCACGCTCACAACCAAAAGCAATGTTTTATCTTGACGAATCTTCGCCTCAGTCACATTCTCCATCAACTCATTGGTCCACATTACATTCTTATATTCAACGTTTTCGACATTTGCACCATCATCATTCACAATCTCATCCTTCCACCAGTCGTCCGTTATTATCAAAGCAAACGTCAATGAGTGAGTTTGAAAGTAGCGCTCATCGGAGACAAGTACAACAGCGTAGTAGTGCATCATTCGTCGACCGAACACACGTACATCGATTCTTAAAACGTTCGGAAACAAATATTGGCAGTAAACGTCGGAGTGATTTTTGTGTGAACGATGAGCTTTACGAGTTTAAAGCCATTCCGCTTGATGAAGATTTTCCAGAACTACGACCATCTGGCGAACAACAGCATCGTACACTGAAAAAAAATCGAAAATCGCACAGTTCAGTTGCATCATTTTTCCATCACTTTCATCCACACCATCATCAGTCACAAGATCAGGGAAAGTTATCATCGCCCTCAAAGTCGATCTCTGCAGTTTCGAAATCAACGAGCTCGTTATCCGATGCATCTACCGATACGAGTCAACAACGACTGACAGGTACTTTTTGGTTCAGCTGTTTGTAAGACTCGCATACCAAGGCTACGGAAAATTGCAAACATAGATATGTTCGATGAAGTAGGAGTCGAGTAACACTCAGATACCGGCAAACGTTAATTTGCAACCTGCTAAGGCGTCTTCTTTTTCTCTTTTACAGTTGCTCATAAAGTCCCATCAAAATGTAGATCATCTCCATTATTTCCCAAGTTTTTCTCACATCATGATTCACATCGCAATAGTGATCCTAGTCATCATGAACATAAACATCGTATTGGAAATTTAATGGAACGTTTACATCATAAAAAGAAGCAAGCAACAGGCGATGATACAACAAACATGAAGTTTAACTGTTCATCCTCATCTTCATTGATTAAACATTGGAAATCTCAACAAGAACAAAATCCAGCTCAAATTCAGCCGGATTTTTTTCGTACGAAATCCAATCAGCATCCAGTTATAATGAAGCGTGTACATACTTGGCATTCATTTGACATTAGACCAATTGAACAATGTAAAGAGTACTAAAGCAAAATAAAGAGTTTTATCCGAAGTATGTGATTCTATCTACTTCATGTGTTTTGTAATGTTTAATAATTAATATTAGAATAGCGACCTGTGCGTTTTCTCGTTTTTCTTGTCTTCGTCTAAAAGTTTATTTTTTTCGTCTATGTTGTATTTGTGTGTGTGTGTGTGCACAACTACCGTTTTGATCAATTTTCGTACTAGAAAATAAATGCTAGCTCTAAGAGCTATAGAGATATGATAGATCTCTCTAGAGCTCAAGCTTTAGTCTGTTGTTGTTGTT